ATTTCTCTGATTGGTGTGGATCTGCCTCCCTCTCCTCACTTGTGCTTTAGTGAGAGAAGGAGAGAGATCTGTGGTTTAGCTAGAGAGATTTAGGTGTTTATAGGTAGGGATTTGTAAACTCTTGAGACCCAAAGGCTCTTTTCAGAGCCATTAACCCCTGTCTTGCCAGTGATCACTATAATCACCGGCTTTTGCACAGCAGTAATTGTCTGCTGTTCGTGCATTTTTTTTTTCTTTTTTAGGGGTTCATTTTTTGTGAATTTTTTTTTTTTTTGAGACCCAAAAGCTCTTTTCAGAACGATTAACCCCTGTCCTGCCTGTGATCACTCTGCAGTTCACAGGCTCTTGCACAGCAGCACTTATTTTGCTGTCTGTTCATTTTTTTTTTTTTTTTGTGACAGGTCACTAAGTAAAGCGATTGTGATCATGTCACATGGGTCACGGAAGTCAACCAGCGCTGAGCAGTCATATGCCACCCTTGCGCTAGAGTCTGACGCGTCTATGTCAGACTCTGACCCTGATTTTGACCCAGCCAGGTGCTCAGATACATCATCACTAGATACAGTGTCTGCTGCTAGTGATGCATCTAGTGATGTTGTATCTGTGCCTGCTAGTCCCCCTGCCCGAAGGAGACGTGCTGCTACAGCTGGCAGAACTGCTGAGGAGTGGGTAGTGCCTCATCGCCAGAGGCCAGACATCCCATCCTTTACTGCAAATCCTGGCATTAATTTGGATGTCACAGGATTTAGCCCTCAGCAGTTTATGGAGGTGTTTCTGGGCGATGATGTATTGGGGAACATTGTCGCCCAAACTAATTTATATGCCCATCAATTCAGAGCTACAAATCCTGACTCTTTTTTGGCAAAGCAGCAATGGGCCCCCATCGATGTGCCAGAATTTAAAAGATTCTGGGCATTGACTATGCTGATGGGCATCATAAAGAAACCCTCCATCCGCTCCTACTGGAGCAGTAGCCCCATCTGCTCTACCCCTATTTACTCCCAATGTATGTCGAGGAAGAGGTATGAAATGATTCTGCATTTCATGCACTTCAGCGACAACAGCCTGTGTCCCTCTAGGGAGCATCCCCAATTTGACAGGCTGTATAAAATCCGCCCCCTGATTACCCACTTTGCTGCCAGGTTTGCAGAGGCTTATACACCTGGAAGGAATATATGCGTGGATGAATCCCTGATGAAGTATAAGGGAAGGCTGGGATTCAAGCAGTATGTTCCTTCCAAGCGCTCTAGGTATGGTGTAAAGATGTATAAGCTCTGTGATGGCGAGAATGGGTATATTCAGGCCTTCCGGGTGTACGAGGGAAAGGATAGCCACCTTGACCCTCCAGGTTGCCCAGAACATATGGGAACCAGTGGCAAGATTGTCTGGGACCTGATTTTCCCCCTCATGAACAAAGGGTACCACTTGTATACTGACAATTTTTATACAAGTGTCCCTTTGTTTAAGCTACTATACTGTTTTGATACAGTAGCTTGCGGCACAATTAAAAAGAACAGCACAGGTTTCCCAGGACAACTTGCACGAACCCGGCTACGAAGGGGGGAGACCTCAGCTCTGCGCCAAGAGGAGCTGTTGGCAGTTAAGTACAGAGACAAGAAGGATGTGTACCTTCTTACCAGTATCCACACTGAGGGGACTGTGGAGGTCCCTGTACGTGGCAGAGCTGAGAGGACAAGGAAGCCAGTGTGCATCAAGGCCTATAACCGGCACATGGGTGGGGTTGATCTGGCAGATCAGCTGCTGCAGCCCTACCTAATTATACGAAAGACAAGGGCCTGGTACAAAAAGGTTGCAATCTACCTGATGCAGATTGCAGCCCACAACGCTTTCTTGTTGTTCAAAAAAGCAAACCCCGGGACGCAACTGAGATTTTTACAGTTTCAGCTCCAGATCATTTCGGGGATTTTGTACCGTGATGCACCTGCTCCCCGGGCGGTGATGGGAGAGAGCAGAGTTGGGGCTACACATTTTATTTTTAAAATCCCCCCTACTGCGGCAAAGCAGAATCCCCAAAAAAGATGCAGGGTCTGTTCTAAGAGGGGGCAGAGAAAAGACAGTGTATATTACTGTCCTGATTGCCCTGGACAGCCTGGACTCTGCATTGGCGACTGTTTCAAACGCTACCACACGCTGGTCCATTTTTAATTTATTTTTTTAACATTTGCCGTTCAGAGGTTTTTTGGTTTTTTTAGGGGGGGGGGGTTCTTACATTTACCCCGTGCATGGGGGGCATGGGTGTCCTAAGGAGAAGCCTTGCAGAAAACCCCCTGGGGTGTGTTCTTGCAATAACCAACAGCGGGCTCTCCTAAATCACAGTCAAAAAGCAGTGTGTTGTGTGTGTGTGTGAAAATGAGGATTGAACAGTTACCTCCACACGCGTTCTTCAACTGTTTTATTTTATTTATTTATTTTTGGTCTGGCTATAAAAAAAGAAAAAAGGTTGCATCAAAGCACTCCACATGCAATACCTTGGGGTGTCCACGTTTCAAAGTGTGTATCCTTTCGTGGCGATCTATAAAACTGGGCTCTGTGATAAGCCCCAAGCTAAAGATAGGCCTATCAGAAGAACTACTCTCAATTTCAACTCAAACTGAAAAGTCATACAATTGTAACCATACCTTCCCAAAATCCTGGCGAGCCTATGCGTGGGGGGCATGGGTGTCCTAAGGAGAAGCCTTGCAGAAAACCCCCTGGGGTGTGTTCTTGCAATAACCAACAGCGGGCTCTCCTAAATCACAGTCAAAAAGCAGTGTGTTTGTGTGTGTGTGTGTGAAAATGAGGATTGAACAGTTACCTCCACACGCGTTCTTCAACTGTTTTATTTTATTTATTTATTTTTGGTCTGGCTATAAAAAAAGAAAAAAAGGTTGCATCAAAGCACTCCACATGCAATACCTTGGGGTGTCCACGTTTCAAAGTGTGTATCCTTTCGTGGCGATCTATAAAACTGGGCTCTGTGATAAGCCCCAAGCTAAAGATAGGCCTATCAGAAGAACTACTCTCAATTTCAACTCAAACTGAAAAGTCATACAATTGTAACCATACCTTCCCAAAATCCTGGCGAGCCTATGCGTGGGGGGCATGGGTGTCCTAAGGAGAAGCCTTGCAGAAAACCCCCTGGGGTGTGTTCTTGCAATAACCAACAGCGGGCTCTCCTAAATCACAGTCAAAAAGCAGTGTGTTGTGTGTGTGTGTGTGAAAATGAGGATTGAACAGTTACCTCCACAAGCGTTCTTCAACTACTGCAGGGTGTCAACTTTTCAAATACATGCACGCTCATGTCAAGAAAATACATTGGGATATCTGATAAGTCCCCCATAAGGTAGATCGGCAAAGAAGATATGTACAATTTGAAAAACGCATATCAGACATTTTGCTTTGCATCCCCCAGTGAACCCGACAAACATATGCATGCGTGGTATCGCTGTACCCGGGAGATGTTGCCGAGCACATATTGGGGTGTCCTTTGGCAGGAACACCTAACAGGAGGTTAGAATTTATGCTCAAAGTAGAATGTGTGAGTGAAAAAGTGAACATGAATGTGTGAGTGAAAAAGGACATCACAAAAACGTTTGACAGAGACTGGTGGTAGAATAAGTGCATGTAAAGTTTTGAAATGCCACCATGTGAAATGCCCTAGGCTGTGTACTTTTCCAAAACATACGGTTTGACGGAGGTGAATTACATTGGCTGGCTTCAGAAATGTTCCAACTGGGACATGGGGGCATGATGGCCAGCTGTGTTTTATGTCTCATCATATTTCACTTTTTTTATTCTAGTAAATCATATGATATGATGAAAATAATGGTATCTTTAGAATGAACATTTAATAGTGAGGTAAACGGTATACAATATGTGTGGGCACAGTAAATATATAAGAGGCAAATACATCTAAACACAGCCACTGCAGAAAAAGAGCCCTGGTCCTTAACGGTAATACAATTGAAACATTGCCTGGTCACTAAGGGGTTAAAGGGAACCGAAAATTCTATAGACAACACACTGAGCATAGCTACAAGAAGACCTGGTTTATCAAATAACTCAGGAATTTGGAATAATAATAACAAAGTATTTAACCAGGAAAGGTACGTCCTGGGGATGTTTCCTTAGCCCACCATCCAGGGAATGCCTGAAATATATTTGTTGGAGCCAAAATAATGGTTATTTACAAAAGTGAGAATTGTAAGGTATTCAAAGTGAATTAAATGTTCAGACCAAAAAAGCTGAATTGGTAAAATTCTCCAAGTCAGCTATGATTTGAGTTCTGCTGTTTTGGTCTGAACATTTGGTCTGAATTTGAACTCCACTTTGAATTCTCAACAATTCCTTTAGATTCGAAAGACTTCTAGGCTCAGATTGCACAGCAAACTAGATAATCTAGGAGTACTGAAATCCATCCAAAATTCCCCCTTATGCAGACTTTAAATAGTGTGAATAATGTATTGATTTTGCAGTCCAGGTGCCCCTGAATTAATCCAGACTTTTGCAAAAGACATGGGGCATTTAAACTTAAGTGAATAATACCCATTATCATTACAATATCTATGATATTGATACACTCTTGTTGGCAATTCTATTGACCTTTTAGAAGGTCATCTAGAGTAACAACCTTCAATTTCTACGAGCATTCCACTCCAAAATCCAAAAGTGTATGTGTCCCTTATCTGTTCATGTCACTAAAGATTGACCATGTATGAGATGCATGTAAGAAAAATCACCAAAATATAGAATATATGTATTCTACATCCTTCCTTTTTTGTATACCGTAAATATTTGTCTACTTATCTTGTGCGATTTAGTATTACTGGGGACTTTGGGGGAATGTATTATTTTGTAGGGAGAGCACATAAGGAGGGTGCTATCTGCTTCTCTACCTGGCCTAGGGAGGATGAGTGGTGACAATCATTGTATTTTGAGTCAATGGAATCTTTTCATGTTTGGTGTTTTTGGTTTCCTGTAGGTCCTTTCTCAGACCGAGAGTTACCAGTCACAGGTTCTAAATAGAGCTGCTTCTTCTCTGCACCACTGGAGAGTCAGTGTGAGAAAAATGAAGCACATCTATCTTATCCTGAATTTGTGCAGTGTGCGTGAGCGCTGTCTCATTGGTGAAGTGTGGTGTCCTGTGAATGACCTACCCGTTCTCCAGGGAGCTCTAGCCAGAGCTTCGGTGAGTCTGTTTTTGCGATATTTCTCATTGTATGTTTGGTAAAGTACTAAATATTTTGGAAGTAATCTGGACCTTTTTGAGGCATAATCCACAAATTACATTAAAAATATATTTTAGATTACTAGTCTCATTGTAAAAAAATGCAATCTAAATAGTGCACATTTTTCTGTGCAATTTACTATGTAGAACTATTTTCATTTACAGGAAGACAGTGGAGGTGGTGGAGAATCATTCTGTCATCGGATTCCATGTTCTGTCAGTCCTCCAACTCTTATTCGCACTAATAAATTCACTGCAGGTTTTCAAGAAATTGTTGATTCCTACGGAGTGGCTAGTTATCAAGAGGTCAACCCAGGTGTGTCCTTGTTCGTGTTTACTTTCACTTTCTACACTTCCTGTCATACCAAGACCAGTTTACAGAGGTAGAAAAGTGGAACGCAAAAAGCACACTCTTCCTGAACACTGACAAAACTGTCACAATGATCTTTGGAACAGTACCTAAATTACACAATTCCCACCTATCCATCAAAACAAATTCAAATGGCACACTGACCGCAGTCCATTCTTTCAAATACTTGGGTATGATGTTAGACCCCAATCTATCTTTTGGCCTCCACATAGAAAAGCTTGCATCTAAACTTTATCCAAAACTAGGTGCCCTGTACAGAAACAAATCCTGCCTAAGCCCTACAGTAAAGAAAACGATTGTACTGCAAATGCTGATTCCAATCATTGATTATGGGGATGTAGTATCTGCATCGCAATCCCAAATTAATAAACTCAACACATTGTATAACTCGTTCTGCTGATTTGTGCTACAATGTAATTACAGGACTCACCATTGTGACATGCTAAAAGAACTAAACTGGCTGTCGCTTGAATCCAGACGCACCCTTCATCTTTCCAGCCTTGTGTTTAAGAGCTTTTCTGGGAAACTCCCACCCTACCTGAACACAATGCTTTCCTCAGCTGTTCCCACTTCCTATAACCTCCGATCCAGTACCAACACTTTACTTAGACTACCTCAATACAAAAAGAAAGCAGCCTGATCCTCCTTCTCCTATAGAGCACCGCAATTGTGGAACGACCTCCCGCACAATTTAAAATCTTCCCTAAGCTTAAAGTCCTTTAAGAGATCCCTCTCTACATACCTCAAAACAGAATGCACGTGTCATGGTCGATTATATATTTCCTGCCTGTTCCATGTTCAATTTTGTATTTATTGTGTATTAATGTTGTTGTTTTTGTATTTTATTGTACCCTAATTGTAACAATGCAATGATTTGTGGACCCAGGACATACTTGAAAACGAGAGAAATCTCAATGTATCTTTCCTGGTAAAATATTTTATAAATAAAGGAAATACCTATGTTCTTGTTGCTTAAAACAATGTTGATGTTCTTGCAGCATTGTACACGATCATAACATTCCCGTTCCTTTTTGCTGTGATGTTTGGTGATGTTGGACATGGTATCCTTATGTTTCTATTCGCTCTCTGGCTAGTTCTTGGGGAGGACGACCCAAAACTTAAACGCTCAGAGAATGAGGTGAGAAATGTCATGAAACTAAAATGTTAAAGGGAAATGTAGGCAGTTCTGTTAGAATTTTCTCCATATATTTTTCTTTCTGTTTCAGATTTTTTCTATGTGTTTTGGTGGTCGTTATCTTATCCTCCTGATGGGTGCCTTCTCTGTATACACAGGGTTTGTGTATAATGAGTGTTTCAGCCGTGCAACTTCAATTTTTCCTTCCGGATGGAATGTTACATCCATGGCATATGATAATAATGACTTGCAGTGAGTAAAACTTAGTCTCTGTATACACATGCTTCTTTACCTGCTTTCTATTGCCTAACTTTTATCTTTAAATGTATTGTTTAGTAAGGCATTTAAGGCAAAGTCTCCTGTGGATCCACTGAACCCAAACATGACTGGTGTCTTCATAGGTGTATATCCATTTGGCATTGATCCAGTAAGTTTCTTGTATAAATCAATTGCATCTTTATTTGATTTGTTGTGGGGTGTGTAAATTTTTTTATTTTATTTTTTTAATTGTTGTATAATTTCTTCCTTTTGTTTACAGATTTGGAGCCTTGCCTCAAACAAACTCACTTTTCTAAACTCTTTTAAAATGAAGATGTCTGTTATTCTGGGCGTCTTTCACATGGCATTTGGTGTATGTCTTAGTATTTTCAATTTTGTGTGAGTATCTGTGTATCC